CTTTCTGCTTTTTTTTTACTTAAAATTGCTCCTTGGCTGTGCAAACTGCTGAAGCATCAATTATGCAGGGGCAGATTAAAATGCATACTCTAATGCATATTCAGAGGCACATTCAGGCTGGAGAAGAAAAGGAGAAATGTAAACAGAGAACTGTCAAAACAGGCCAGCCCTCGTGTTCCCAAGCGCGCGGCAGGACCGGAGCTGCCGGATTGCGGCACTAAGACAAAGGTAGCAGAGATCAGGGGGCCACAAGAATGAGGCCCCCAAACAGCCATTTGGCCCCGTTCCCAGGGCTCATTTTGCTGCTTGATCTGGGCCGTTACCGGGCCCGGGTTGGAGCTTGACCCTTGGGAACGCGGTAGCTGCGGGTCGGCACCGGGACCGCGACGGTGCCGCTGCAGCCGGGGCGCCCTCGGGCCCGGGCGCTGCCGCTCACCGCGCGCTTCGTTACCGCCACCCGGCCCTCCGCCTCCCGCTAATTCGATCAAGATGCTTTTGGGATCCGCTGCGGCCCTCGCGCGGCTGTTCCGCATTCCAGGGAACATGAGCGACTTCAGCTTCAAAATATTTCGGGGGAATAACGCACACGAGAGCTCCGGAACGCTGTCGATGTTCACGCCCCGGATGTCAAGGCTCAGCACCATCGTTGCAGATCGGATAGAAAGACGGGGCGGCTTCAAAAGCAGCATCCAAGGGTCACTTTGTGCAGGATGTCCCTAGCAGCAAGGAAGCCAGCAGGACCTGCTGCCGGGGAATGCATAAAACACCAGGATAAAAGATTTTATCCAAGCTACGATACTATGTGGGTCAGCAACAGGATGGGACCAGAATCCAAGCCTGCCCACTTCGATTCTCCAACTAGACCATTTCTCTTGCCTTTTTAAAAAAGTGTAAGTGGAATAAATGCATGCAGATAGGCAGCGAGCAGGCATCTCATTGTCTAATTCTGTGCTAAATTAACAGTGGCAGGGGAGAGGCAAGGTGACTGTGTCCTTGCTGCGAGCAGACACGGAAAACCCTTTCCTCTTGCTGGACCCTCCATTTGTCCAACCGGAGGCCGCGGCTCGGGGGTTCGAAGGGGAGCGCGTGCCAGGTAAAGCCCTGCAAGCCCAAACGTGACTGCTCGGAGCAGCAGGTCCCATCTGAGCTCAGGCACCACCAGCTTCCTCGTGAGCTTCCCGCAGGCTTGGCTCAATTCCATACGGATGCAGGAACAGGCACAACGGGGCATTTCCACATTCTCCCCCACGCAAACGCTTGGATCCTTGATAGGGCATCCTGTGACCGTCATCCTCCTCAACCCAACGCAGGTTTCAGTGACACCATCCCTGTTTCACAAAGCCCATGCAGTTTTGGAGAACCTTCTCCCACAGCTTCCACAGAGCAAGTCCTTGGTACCCTCACCCAGCCCTAGGGAACGGGGGCTCTTTAGGGATTTCTTCTACAGCCCCGAGTTCTCGGAGCTTAGAGAAACCCGAGGAGAACAAGCCCATGATGGGACGCGGTCCCTGCGGATCTGGGGGACAGTCGGACCGCTGCTTTCCAGCACAGGGACCCATTAGGCATCCCCAGCCCCGCTCAAGTCACTGCTGCAGTTTTGAACTTTCTCCACTAATTCCACTAGCAATTTGTTAAATTCCTTTTCAACACTACACTAGAAAGAAGGAATTTTCCCCACAGAGCAAAAATGGGAGACTCCAAAAAAGCCATTCCTACATAAAACCACATCTCACCACTGCCTTCTGCTTCCAACTAACCCCTGCCCTTTTCCTCCTATTTTTTTGCTGTTTTCTGTGCTGGTGCTATTAAATCCTGAGCTTCAGGCGCTCAATCCCAGCAAATCAGGCAATTTTATGGCTGAGGACCCTCATTCCTACAGTGAAGCGGGCCCGGCCTCACCTGCCGAGTGAGCGGCACGCGGAAGGGGCTGCAGCGGGAATGCGGGAATGGGCAGCACGGAGCAAGGCCAGCGGGCACCTTCCACACGCTGCGAGCAGGGAAACGCAGCCCTTTGGATCCAGCCCCAAACCAGGTCCCCTCTGCTGCTACCAGAGCGCTGCAAACCGCCCCCGCGCTGCACACGAGCGGCGTGCTGGGGATTTGGCCTGGAAAACACAAATAAACGGCAATATAGTCGATACAAGCAAGTGGCATCGTGGCCAGGGCGCTTCCTGTCCCTACGAGGCTTTTCCATGTGTGCCACGTTTTTAAATTGCTGCTATTCCAGCCCCGATGCAGCGAGCGAGCCGCGCTGCAGCTGCAATGTAGGTCAGCTCAAGCAGGGACCCCTTCAGAGAATTAATAATTCTTCTTCCTTGATTACTGCAGGCTTTTAACCAGCTCATCGTGGATTCTTCATTTCACATCAAACACGGTGCTGTACATGGGTAGATAAATAAAGCGTTTTTTTTCCCCCACGATCAAAGGTGTTAAAGAGGAAGAGAATTCAAAATTGACAGTTTGGGTTTTCAGCCCTTTTTCTAGGTTTCCTTTCCTTAAATACCATTATTGAATTTGCTACGCTAGCGTAAAGCGAGGAGCACCGTGCTGGTGCAAAAGAGGAGATTTTAAAAGCCGGGGCCCAACACGGTGCGAGAGGGGACGTGACAGCAAGGAAGAGCCACCACTGGGCACGAAACCCACCCAAAATCAGGGCGAGTTCCACAGTGGGTTCAAAACCCCCCGAGGAGCCTCGGCTAGCGGTTCCATGCTCCGGTTTTCCCGGATTTTATGGGAAAGCTGTTTAAGGAGCATGAAGAGGAGGCTCAACGGGGGATTCGGGGCAACTCTCTGAGGTCTTCAACTCTTGGGTAGAAACAAGGAGATCAGAGAGGACTCACGTGGCAGTGAAAGCTGCTGGTGCTGTCTGCAGGGACAGCACACAGAGCTGGGAGCTCTCCACCGCTTGGCTATTTTGTGAGGTAAAGATCTGTCAAGCCGAAAAAAGACAGTTTGTTCATAAAATCCACGAAGCGAGGAAGGCTTTCCTAATCCTCATCTTTTGAAAACTGTATCTATTTTCCTTAAATCCGAACAAAACCCGTCAGTCTGCTTCTAAGGAACTCTTGGAGACAACAGAAAGAGTGATTAAAGATATTAAATGAAAGAGCCTTCTCCAAAGGCGACACGAGTGTAAATAACACCGCGGATCCCTGCGAAAAGAGCGAGATCTGCAGGCGGGGAAGGCTGATAAGCGGAGCCGGCCCCGGCCGCGTGCGCGGGGAGAGCGAGGAGCGATGAGGGGCGATAGGGATTGCTAAATCCATGGATAAAAAGGCCGTGCTTCGGAAGGATGAGGAGGAAGCACTCAAGGTGTGTGTGATGGTGGCCGCGCAGGAGGGAGGCCGACATCCAAGGCGGGCTGGGACCGGGACTGTCCCACCGCTTCCCCCTTGGCTTCATCGGCTCAAGAGAGGCGATTTATTTCCCCACTTGCCTTCCGCATCCCTGGAATTAGCACAGACCCGTGCCGGCAGCATCCCTCGGGTCAGGGAGAAGGCGTTGAGCAGAGGCGGCCGCCGGGAAGGGCTGAGGATCCGGGACACATCCGACACGGCGCGCTCGCTGGCTTTGGCAGCGCGCGGCTTCTCTTATCAGCGGAGATACCTTTGAAGTGGCTGGCGAGTTTCCAACTCGTGTCCAAGCAAATCAGACCCTTCACATCCCAGCACAGCCGGGAAAGGGATCTCTTCATCCTGCAACGCGGGCGGAAAAGCTTCACTCGGCAGCGCCCGGCCAGGCCTCCTTCCCGCCCCGCTGCAAACGGGGACTGGAAACACGGGCCAAAGCTCGCAAGGAACGCGGGCATCCCGCTGCGACGGCCCAAGGTCCTTGATTTTTAGCAAAGCTCGAGCACCAGCGCTGCTGCACCCGGCCTGCAACCCGCTGCTTTTCCACGGAGCTCCGGAGAGCAACGCGGGAGACTCCGTCTTGGCCGGGACCCTTCCCACCATGGAAGACCAACTGCCCGAGAGGCTCCTGCAGACCCAGCTCCCACCCCGGCATGTAAAACATTTGGAAAAACACAGAAAATAAACCTGTTCTGCAGTATTTTGTGCAAACGCATCATGCTGGGTTTGTGTTCTAGCCCGTAGCAGCTTCCCTACCAGTTTATGCCTCTCGCTGGGCTGGAGAAGGTGAGAGATTCTAGTGGAAAAGCACAAGCTTGACTTGGTTTCTGATTAAAACGCTACCGCTAAAAACAAAAGCAAACAGGGCAAGAGCCTCCTTGTAAAAGGAACCGAGAACGAAGACGAGCTGCGATGCCAGCCCTTCCCTGGCAAAGCCCTTCCTGCCGGCCCGCTCCTCACTCCGACTCCAAGGCTTCTCCTCCGAAAGGATTACAGGAATTGGCATCTGATCAACCACAGTGTAGCTACCAGAAAGCTTCGAAGGGCCAGGGAGGCCCTACTGCAATTTTGCTCAAGAGAAGGTTCCTCCTTGACTTAAGGAACGTCCCAACATGAAACTAAACAAACACAAATAAAAAGGAGACAGAACGCAACCCTTCCGTGTTCTTGCACACTCCTGATAGCCAAACGCCACTCAGGAAATCTGCATTGTACAACGGGACACTCGCACTCATTTTAATTGTAGAGTTTACCTCAGCTACCAGGGCCCCCCAAAAGCTGCTGCAAGGGGGCAAATCAATCCGGGCGCTGCTTTGGACCGGGACACGGACCCTCCTCAGCACCGACGCCGCGCAGAGGTGCTGAACACATCTGAGTCTGCTTGCTCGAGACACGTCAAGGTGCTGCCAAGACCAGAGTGAGAAGCCAATGGGGCCTCCATATACTGCTCCTAAGCAGATTTTAATTCTAAAGAGACACACACCGCTCACACGACTGGTTTTTAACACAGCAACAGCCACCAAAGGCAAGAGCACAGGTAGGACACCCTGCCAGGCAGTTTGTATTAGAACAATTCCTCACCCATCTCCTGCAGCACCGAGGCTGAACAGTCCCAGAGCTCTTCAGACACCCCACTCACCCTGCAGCCCCTTTCCTCTGACATTACCTGTGCCGAAATCTCTACCATTTCCAAAATCTTACACCCTGACAGGGAGCAGGGAATGGAACAGGGACAAGTTTACACCGTTTAGCAGGCGTTTTTCAAAGCTTCCATATCACGTTTCTTCAACTGGAAGAAGATTCTTAATAAAAAATATCATCCTCCCACACTGTCTAGCTTTTTTATTTTTTTTCTCCCCTAAACATAATCAAGGCAGAAGGGAAGAGGGAAAGAGGGAGGAAAAAATGAACACAAAGCACCTTAGCTGCATTTTATCCTTTCTCCAGAGGAGGACATCCATCATTCCTCTATCATTTTGTATGATAGGAACCCTCTCCTCCCTCCCCTTCCCCTCTTTTTTTCCTTTAGGCAGCAATTCCTCCTCCACTGCTGACAACATTTTGTCCTTGGAGAGTTGTTCCTGATTGCACTCAGGATTAAAATTTGGGAGAATTTCTGATTGTTCAATAAATGTTTCAAAAAGCTTCTATAAACTGTCAACACTAAGCAGATTAGGAGGTGAAAATGTGGCCTGGATTTACCCACTGAATCTCCACTGGAGATTTTCAGGAAAATCCTAAAACAAGGAAATCATTACAGAAAGGAGCTGAGGCAGGTCAAGCACAGCTACCCACAACAACAGGCGTTAGGAACAGGCAGAATAAACGGATCCACCAGAAGTTGCATCCGCAACCCGGCGTCTCGGCAAGGACACGCGGCGTCGCGCTCCGTTACCTTCTTGAACAGGCGCCCCGAGTCTTCGCTGACCTGGACAAAGCGCGGGATGATGTTGTTGAGATAGATATCGCTGAGCGTGGTGTGATCCCTGCTCTCCCGCTTCACTTGGTTTAGCAGGAGATTCCAGCAGTTGACTGGTGAGAGCACGTTCTGATCCTTCCTGCAGGGACGCAAACAGAGACAAGCATTGGATGGGGCTTCACCCGCAGCACACGGAATGAATCCGTCCCGCGCGTTCCGCATCGGGGAATATCCAGTTAGCCACGTAGCATCTGCATGGGAAACAAAACGGGATGGCTCGTGCAGGAGAGCAACCAGTGCAAGTCACCTAAACCCACCCTGAGCAGAAGAGCATGCAATATCCATACATAAAACCTGACATTCCCATCTTTGGGCTTTGCATTCCCACCTTTGGGCTCTCTCAGTCCCACCATGGCCAATTCCCCCCGCGCACACAGTCCGAAAAAGCTACTACCCCTTTTTAAGCACAGATACAATAATTCAGAAAGAGCAACTCCAATCTCTGCTGGAAGGCCAAAGCTCAACTCAGTTATTGCACAAGATTGTACCAGATTCTTTTCCCCTTAAAAGGAGTGGGTGTAATTTCCACAGAAAAAGGAAATATCCTTTTTCTAAAAGAACAGTGAACTCTGCTGCAAGCAGCATCTGATGCTATTAAAGTCACTAAAGAATTAAGCCCAAACAGACTTTTGCTGTCCTTCTCATGGCATTGAGGGTTGCATCACCAGCAAAATATGCATAATTTAAAGAGGGAAAAAAAGAACAGTTCCAAAACAGCTGATTTTGACACGTGTTTCTTTTTCTTTAAAGCAAGCACAGGAGATGACTGCTGTGTGATGGGGCCTGCCCCAAGGGCTGCAGCGTGTGCGAGGGGGCAGAGAAGCTCCGGTGCTTTGAATAGGAGAAAGAAAATAAAACGGGAGAGGGCAGAGATTTCCCTTGGAGATAACATTGCCCTTTGTGGTGCCTGCGGTACTGCGGATACTGCTGGCACGGGCAAAACCAGCAGGAA